GGTTGTAAACAACCGCTTTATTGATAATAATTTTTTGCATTTTAGTGGCACCATTGACGACGACGACGATGACGTCATAATTGATGATAATGATGACGTCGTTTTTACTGGTAAGAATGATGATGACGATGACTTGGCCAAAAAAAATTTCGATCTTTGGGCATTCGGCGATAATAACTGCAACCTTGATGACGATTGCGACTGTGATGATGATGATAGCGATGGTAATGATGATAGTAATAATGATGCCGATGATGTTGATGATGATGATGATGATCGTAGTGGTGGTGATAGTGATGCAAGTATGGATTTGTTTGCTACTGCTATTGTTGTTGTCGTTATTGTTGTTGTTGATGATGATGATAGTAGTGAGTTCTGGAGTTTTATTTTTCTCGCCAAAATATTTAGCTCATTCATTACGTTGCATTTTATGCCCGTTTCATCATCACCTACAACCACATCACCACCACCATCACCACCACCACCATCATCATCACAACCACCACCATCATCATCATGTTTACCCACCTCCTCCTCCCACTCATTAGCATCATCATCATAACCACAATCTCTATCAGCTATGTCAAATTCATTTCCAACATTTTTGTCATTATTGTTGTTGTTTTCATTATTATTATTATTATTATTATTATTATTATTATTATTATTATCATAATTATTAATATTATTAGTATTATTATTACTATTATTATTTATATTATTATGAACTTTGAGTTTGCTCTTCTCCGATCTAGATCTCTTGTTGTCTTTTATTGTTATGATGATGTTGCTGCTGTTGTTGTTGTTATTGTTATTATTATTATTGTAATTATTGTTAATATTATTATTGTTGTTTTTGTTGTTGTTTATGTTGTTGGTACCATCGTTACCTCTCATTAACATGCTGTCTTGCATTTTTGAATCTGAAATAAGAAATGTCTTAAAGAGTCAGAATATTATCATTCATAATAATAATAATAATAATAATTATATATATATATATATAATCATCATCGTCGTCGTCATCACCATCCTCTGCATTATTACCATCATCGTCATCATCATCATCTTCGTCATCTTCTTTATCGTCGTCACGAATTTTATCTTCCGGATGCAGTGAATGGAGTGTAAGAAAAAATAATTAAATAATATTAATTAATAAATAATAATATTATTATTATTACTATTATTGCTATTGTTAATAATAATATTACTATAACTAATAATAATAATAATAATAATAATAATAACATAACACCTCTCTGTAGAATTCGATAAATTCTCAACAATTACTTTGCTTATATGAAAAACAATGACACAGACTAGATAGAATGTAGATAATAATAATGTAGTATTATTACTACTACTGCTACTACTACAACTACATTTGCAGCTACTACTACAACAACTACTACTACTACCTATACTACTACTACTACTACTATACTACTACTACTACTACTACTACTACTACTACTACTACTACTACTACTACTACTACTACTACTACTACTACTACTACTACTACTACTACTACTACTACTACTACTACTACTACTACTACTACTACTAATACTTCTGCTGCTACTTTCTGAACTACAAGACTACTGTTACTACTTACATCACTGATACACACTACAATACTACAATTTTTGATACTATATACTATAATACAACTAAAGGTAATGATACCAGCAATGAAATAATGATACAAATGATGATAATAATAAAGTTTGTTTTAAAAGTTATATTAATTTATAGTAGGAGTGCAGTGAAAAGAAGAAGGGATCGCTAATTAAGGCATTAAACATTTTTATCGAACTTTTTACTTTCTCTCACTCTCTCGCTCGCTCTCTTTCTCACTCTCTCTCACTCTCTTTCTTTATCTCTCTTTCTTTCTTTTTTTCTTTATATTTTCTTCTCTCTTTCCTTCATTATTAATTCCTAAGTAGGTCATTATATTTTCTTCATAATTACTCAACGGTTCTGAGTAACTCTATTAGAAAATATGTTACAATTTTCATATGTTTATTCATGTATAAATAAAAACACACACGCACACTTATATAAATATACACATACACACACTACAACTTCTGCTGCAACTACTGATGCTACCACTACTACTACAACTGCTGCTACTATTGAGGCTTCTTTTACCACTACTACTACTACAACCGCTGCTACTACTGTTGCTGTGATGTACGAACCAAAGAAAATAAAAAATGTATAAAATTATCGTTAAAAGAAAAACGAACAAAGAATTACGATGGTAAAAAATAAAATAATAAACATTAAAAAAGAAGAATAAAAATAATTAAAAAATCAGAAAAATAGAGCAAAACTCCAAAAAGTGAATAAAAACTGAAAAAATTGAGTAAAAAATAGCAGAAAATGTAAAAAGGAATGGGTGATAATAAAATGAGAGATAACATAAAAAAGAGAGCATAAAAAAATGAATGAGTGATTGATTGATTGATGGATGTAGGAATGATTGGATGAATAAATGGATGGATGGATGGATAGTTGAATGAATGAATGAATAGATGGACGGAGAGATGGATAGATTATCGATTAAAATTTGGATGAATTAATGGATGAAAAGACAAATAAAAACATGTGCAGTGGACAGCTGGAGAGATGATTAAAAAATTGGATAAATAGGTTGATGAATGGATGGATGGATGGATGGACGGATGGATGGATAAATAAACGGATGAATGGATGGATAGATAGATGGATGGATAGATGAATGGATGGATGGATGATAAAGAAATGAGGCCTTGAATATTTTTGTTGCATGTAAAAAAATTGTTTTGATGCATACGTGTTATGTTTGAAGTGCATTCTACAAGAGGCTCCGTGTATAAATCCTACATTTATGAACATATATGTATATATATTTTTAGAAAATAATATACTTAATATATAACATATATGTATATTTATATATAAACACACGAGTGTGTGTGTGTGTGTTGGTGCGTGTGCTTCCGTTAATATTTTTTGTGTGTAAATTAAAAAATAATAGAAAATATAATAATTAAATACATATTTGAATTTCTTTATAAATTTATGAACCAGCAATAGTTACAATCCTACTAAGTATATTATTTTCTAAAAATCTTCCCCTCTATAATTTTTTTTGTTTCTTTGTGTCTACTTTCTTTCTCTTCCTCTCTCTCTCTCTTTCTCTCTCTCTTTCTCTCTCTCTCTCTTTCTCCCTCTCTCTCTCTCTACTTTATATATCAGTGGTTTTTTAGAAAGGGTATTATGTATACGTGTTGGAAAGCATTGATGGTAAGTGAACAGTGAGTGAGTCATCTCAGCATTCTTATAATTATATATATTATTTATTATTATATATATTATTTATTATTATATATAATAATTGCGCTTTTTATAGTGATGCTTATGATTATGGAAGCATATATATATATATATATATATATATATATATATATATATATATATATGTGGTGTGTGTGTGTGAAAATGTTGACGAATAAACGAATGTATGAATGAATGTATGAATGAATGAATGAATAAATAAATGAAAGCTTGAAGGACTGTGGTGTTCAAATAATAAAAATTTGATGCGACATGTATTTGACAGAAATAGTGATTGAGATAAGATAGATATCAAACAGATGATAAACTGTTGTTTGGTTGGCCGTGTTTAGTCAGTTGATACTGTTAAGTTTGATACTAGATGGATAGATAAGTGAATTAATATATAGATATCAAGATAGAGAAATGTATCAATGGATGAATGGAAGGATAGATAAACGAACAATTAAAAAAATAGTGTTTCTTATTTTAGACAAAAAATTAAACGCCAGGAGAAAAACTTTAAAAATAAATAGACTGTGACCAAACAAAATTTGGCAAATGGTTAACCTTACATATAAATAGGTGGTATCCACACAGGCAAACATGTGAAACATTGTAAATATACTCATACACTTAGATGCAAATTATAAATCTTCTCGAGATGAAACAACAGCCCATTGTGAAATAATAGACAGATCAAACGCACCGACCGACAGTTTGTTTGCACAGTCCTTCCTACCATGCATTTGTATATGTATGTATATTTGAGTGTTGTTGACAATGACCAACTGTGGTTTGATGTTTTCTTATTACATCTTTTCTGGCATTTTGGTTCAGTTTTTGTTTAAAATATTTCAAAAACTATTTTTTGTGTATTTTTGTTGAATTCATCGTTTGTCGTCGGCTTTCAAGTCAAACACCCAAGAAAATTTTTAAAACATTTTTTTGGAAATTTTAAATTCCGGCGAACATTCATTCATTGTAAGTCTTCAACTTGTTTATTTACAACTTCAACATCCACACAACACGACGCACACACACGTTTATATGTGACATGAACACACAACACCCATGCAAATTTGTTTGAACGTGATAGAACTTAACATCAATAAAGTTTTGCAGAGACGGCATTTGAACCAGGTGAACGCGCAACACCGGGGTGAATGAAACAAGACATGACACTCAGAGTAAACTTAACACAAATAACAAAATATCGCAAAACTAACCTGGACAAAATTTGCCAACTTTGGTATTAAATGAACCAGATTTTGTTAAAAGGATACCCGATGTATCAGCAACACTTACAGGTTTATAAGTTTCGCTGCTACTACTTCGAGTAAAAATACTGCTAGTACTGTTACTTGCTGCTACTGAAATGAACCGCCGATTTAGAGAATTTATTTGGGCAATTTTGCTATCATGGGCTGGTTTGTTTGTTGTGGATCTGTGTGTATTTGTTGAATTTTCGCGAGTTGCTAGGCTAGGATGACTGTTGTTTCGTTGTTGTTGATGTTGTTGCTTTTGTGGTTGAAGTTGTGGCTGACGTAGTTGCTGATGTTGCTGCTTTTGTGGTTGAAGCTGCTTGTACGGTTGAGGTTTTGGTCGATGTAGTTGTTGATGTTGATTATGTTGGTTTCGTTCTTGTGGTTTCTGTTGTTGTTTTTGTCTGGGTTGTTGCTGGTTTTGTTGTCTTCGTTGTTGAATGATGTTTGTTGAGGAAATATGCAAAGAAGTGGTACTCAAGCGAGCCAATGTTCTGTTTTTACAATTGTTGCTTGCTATGTTGTTGGCGCTGGTGTTGAC